GTTTTGGAAACCAACTACTGCGTAACACGCTAATGGCCCCTGCCCAAGGAGCAGTCAACGTCTTTGACGCCTTTTTCCGTGCAAAGCATGACACAAGGATGGTACGTGAGAGCAAGTCTCCCCATTCGACATCCACGTTTTGTGTTCGGAAGCCGAAAGGAAAGTGGCGTATCATTCATACTTACAATAAGCTCGACGCTGCCACCGTTCCGGCACAGACGCCAAATTTTAGAAAGGATGTTCTTCAGAACAATATGGTGGGATGCACGACGTACAGTGCACCCGATTTGGTAGATGGATATTACCAATTGCTCACGAGAGCGAGTGTTTATACCGCTGACAGCGGTGAGCACTCCGAGCGGCATGTTCTGGGAGTGGCTGGGGATGTCCCAAGGGCTGTCAAATGCACCGGCAGCTTTAATCGTCTTGTGACGCAGTTGTTCAGGCCCTACAGGGCGTATGCACAGACATACTATGACGACATTTTCGTTTACAGTCGTGCGGAGCACGGGAGGACAGATGAGGAGAATCACATCGTCTATTTAAAAGCGGTGCTTGAGTGCATGCACACGAACAAACTGTACGCCAATGCAGATAAGTGCATCTTTGACGCAGAAGAATTCCCCTTCTAGGGTGCTTCATTGGGAAGCGTGGCTCTCGAGTGGATCTCGCTAAGGTCAAGGCCATTGTAGACTGGCCGGATCCAAAGAAGCAGAAGGATTTGCGTAAGTGGCTTGGTTTCGCCAACTACTTGCACAAGTATAGCGCAAACTATGCGGAAATTACACGGCTATAATGTAATCTTCTTAAGAAGGATAAGGAATGATGTTGGAACACCGAACATTGGCAGGCTTTTGACAGGGTCAAAGACAGCCCCCTTCATGCACCAATACTGGCGTTGCCAGACACCGATCGTCCCCTTTTTGTGTCCTCTGGTATGCTTCGTACTTTGCCGTCGGTTATGCACTGCTGCAAGGAGACGCCGAGGGGCGAAATCGGGTGGTCAAGATCAAAACGCGCCAGCTGAAGGCTGCAAGAAGCCGTTTGTCATCTACACAAATCATGCTTCATTACACACTGCGACTCAGTCGGGCCCCTCGCAGAGGATGGCCAGGTGGCTCTCCTTCTTCGCAAAATAAAACTTCGAGGTGAAGAATTAGCCAGAAAAGCAGAATGCTTTGGCTGTTGCGTTGTCACGCAGATGGGACTATGCGCTTGGCACGACGGTGACATCGTCAGTGACGGATTTGATCTGCACCGCAGACGCGGGTGATGGTACGTATGTAGCGCTGCTACAGGATCACGGAAGCAAGGAGTTTGGAAACCTGGACAAAAACTGTTGGCACGTTTGCGCGTACTACACCGATATTCGTTAGTATCGGATTGCTGTATTATAGCACCGATTCAACGGACACGCCACGAATGTGATTCCTCACGATGATAATTTGAAATACCGTATCCTCTATGAGGTCCACTAAACCCCACTCAGTGGTAATCTCAGTCGTGAGAAGACCTACTGTGAGTTGCCACTACAGGTGGCCTAAACTGTACAAATGGACGAGCACATTTGTGCGCACGTGTGAGACGTGTCGGAGGGTGAAACGCTTATCAAATCCGGCGGCGCCTCTGATAAGTTAACCGGTATCCCCCAGCTATTGACAGTTCATGAGTATGGATTTTGCGTTTGGCCTGCCGAAGGATTCGGCATGCATCGCGGATGTCGTGGTCTTTGTGGACCGTTCGAGCAAGATGAATCATCTTGCAACAGTATCGAACACCATCGATGGTATGGGTACACCGACGCCGTTTGTCGATCGTGTTTTTTGATAGCGTGGGCTTCTAGAATCAATTGTCTAAAACACAGTCCCGCGCTTCACTGGGAAGTTTTGGTCTACAATCTTCATTATGCTTGAAATCAAGCTGACTATGTCAGCAGCGGACCATCCGCAGACCGATGGTAAGCTGAGCAAGTGAATCGCGTCATTGAGAGCGTTCTTCGCAGCGTCTCCGCAGAGACGCTAAAGCTATGTTGCCACTCGTCGAGTTTACTTTGAACAATGCAGTGCAATCATCTACCTGCCTGCTACACACGGTTCTAAGGGAACGGGCTTATTAATCCTTGCGTCCCGCTGACGCCGCTATATCATGGCCCAGGATGGTTGGGGAATGAATAGCCGAATTGCTTGCTGATGTCAGCCCCTTAACTCTCCATAGAGATGTCGATGACTTCCTGTATAACAGACTGAGTTTCTTACGGCACGTTCGCGATGCGACGGCTGAAAGACAAGACATCCAGAAGGAATATACGGACGGAGGGGGTAAGGGAAACGTAGAAAACTTTGAGTTCGGAGACCTGGTTTAGTTACATGCTAAAAATTTCGTACATATGCAGTCTCTGCTGTCTTAAAGACAAAGCTCCATCCACGGTTTATTGGACCTTTTAAGGTCGTGGCCAAGCGTTGCACCCGACACCTTGACAATACTCACCCGAACTTTGCTGTTAAGCGCGGAATTCATCTCGATACAACGATAACTAGTGTTGCAAATTCAGTCTATCGATGAAAAATTGGCAGTATTTCCCCGGTTATATTTCCGCTAACATTAGCGAGATAATCTATCATGTTTGGTAGCTCCACAATATCACAGTGTCCGTAATACCGGACGCGTCTACAAAGATAGTCGTGTTGCCATTTTAAATGAGCGTGGTGAGAACATCACATTGCGAAACGAAGCATAATGTCTATTGATCACAAGTGGATAAGAGCTAGAAGGTGCGTCTTGAACTGCCGGAAATATCATCAAGGAGTTCAGTGTCGTGAACAGGATAACTTTTTTCTGCCGCCTCATCTGCCGCACCCCCGCACCATTCGGTATTCTTTTAAAAAGATTGGAGAGGACTTTTGTCATATTGTCACGAGTTATTCTATACCTGTGCAATTAGCTGCTAGACTAAGTAACTTGAATAATGTCCTAGATACAGAGACTTAAGCTTTTCTACAATAGCGTTCATCTCCGCGGAGCTGCTTTCAGGCTCTGCGATTTAATGATACACCCGAGAAAGGCGGTTTGTCGGCTCCAAAGACATCTCTGTCTCTATCATGTCGACCTCATCCACCTAAATTGGATCCAAACACAACTTGAATATTCTTGTATTCTCACGGAGCTCCAAGCACCCAGCTGAGGCCTTCCAATTCGTCAACGCATCCGTCTTGCTCAAATATGACAGGACCCGCATTGTTGATAAGCCGTCCAACGGCGAATAAGTTGCACGAGAGCACCCGAATATACCAACCGTTGTGAGCACCCTTCTTCATTGAACGCGGTATTGTCATCTACTTAGTGGTATTGTCTGGGTTACCAACCGCTTTAGTCATCAAGAAACACGTTGGAGCAATCTAATTATAGTTTCTTATATACTCTTTCGAATGTGTCAAGTGCGGCGTCGAGACAAAGTCAACCAGTCATATGTTGCTTGATTTGGTGACACACGTTCCATTTCCGATGGAGAAAAGGTGGTCGCTCGAATCATCTCTCATATGTGCACGTTGTGAACGCCGCAAAATTGAGTAAGACTCGCGGTGACCCAATGCCCTTTCTCTCCGCAGTAGAGACAACCACTACTCATTTTCGTCGACACTTGTCGTCTTTTGAGCCGTCTATTACCAGTTGACACGAACGCTTGACCTTTTCCATGCGGGGCTACATCGATACCTCATTCCTTGCGCTCCATACCCTCATGAAGAAGCGAAAACTTCACTAGTTACCATAGCAGCAAGTCAGCTCTCAACTCCAACGCCGTAATCATAAACACAAACGACTCGCTTCAACTTATAAAAAGCACGACTACCAAGTTATTCCACAGCACTAAGTAGCTCTACCAGCCTCTGGATCTTATCAATGTGCTTTGGAGCGTCATCACCTTCGGCAATCATTGGCGTGAAGTAGCGTCGAAGAAGAAAGAGCTTACAAATTATTTTTCTCAAAATGCAACTCCAGACGGGACAATGCATCGAATGCTTATTTCGATGATCGCACCAACGGCAATAATTTCATTGCGAGACAGATGATAGCCTCGGCTTCTGTGCAATATGGCTGCTGTAGCTCATTCGCTTAGTGGAAGGTCGGTGACCTTCGTTCTATACTTAAAACCTGTACAAGTGTAGCGAAACGTGATTAACTTACCGAAAGAGTTATTACAACAATTGACCCAAGACTAATAAACTTTTCAGTCCAAAGTTTATCTCTATTTCCTGCTTTTATTTGCGGCAAAGCCGTCTATACCTAAATCTATAGTTTCCGCACTAAATACTAAGACCTAATTAAAATGCATGACTACTGGTAGTCCAGACACGTACTGCCTTCTTGTTAAGGTGGAGCCACACCATTGTGTGATTACACCTTCCTATGTAACCCACACCTTTGTATGGTCACACCATCTTGTTACCCAC